CTCTGATACAATTTGCCACAGCCCAAGTCCATCACTAGTAGATATTGTCCGCTTTATAGCCCATTATGTGTCATTATTAGCCTCACGGTTTTGAAACGCATATGTTAGGGAGAGATTTCCACACCCTTATAAGAAATGATTCGTTCCCCTCTCCAACCGACGTGGGGTCTCACAATCCATCCCCCCTTGGGGACCAGCGTTCTCACTCACTAGCACACTAGCCCATGTTTGACTCTGATACCATTTGTCATAGCCCAAGTCTACCACTGGTAGATATTATCCGTTTTGACCCATTACATATTGTCGTCACGATTTTGAAACACATATGTTAGGGAGAGGTTTTCACGGCCTTATAAGGAATGCTTTATTTCTCTCTCCAACCGACGTGGAATCTTACAAAACTCAACCTTATGCCGTTTGAAATTGAAAATATTTGAACCTAGCTATATAGTTTACGTCGAGATCTTTTAAATGAATAACTTGTAGGCTTCTAAATTTTGGTATGTGAGTTTGGAAATTGTCATAAGATAAGCAAATTTGTATCTAATACTTAAATTAGAATTTTATTTATTTTATGTCCATGTCGATCTCGACATCGATGCTATTAAAATAATATTGAAAATAATCAACCCTTAGAACGTGTTGTTGTAGGACAAAAAACTATTAAAATTGATCGGGGTAAAGATAACCTATCACCCGAGCTTTCCAATAACTTTGGAAATTGTTGAAATAGATAATTTCCAGTTTCGAATTACTCGAAAATTATAATAAAAGTTAATTGATATGAATTAAAATAATTAAAATAAAATAAAAACTTATTTGATAGTATCCTTTGTAATATTAAATATAATAATTAACTGAAATAAAATTCAGTCAAGTAAAAAAATATTTATTTTTTCTAAAAAAGGCTAATCTTATTTGTATATGTTATGTAATATAAATATTTTATTTTAATAAAATAATTAATAATTAAATATTTAACGAATAAAATTTATAAAAAGGATTAGATGTAATAAAAAAAAATAAATAGCAAGAAAATATTAGTCCTCAAATTAAGAGATTAAAAATTATAAAATAATGAAAAAAATTATAAAATTATAAAATAATGGATTGGTCAGGATGGAATTGAACCCAACCGAGAACCCTCTATTTTCAAATTAGACTGTGGACGGTTTTTTCTTAAATTATTTTTAAAAAATTATATTTATTTATAATACATGTTACATTAATATTAAAATTTCATAAATTTTAAACATCAAACATTCACGGGTCAAAACGTATCACTAATATTGGTTACAAACGTCAAATATTCTTAATTTTTAAAATAATCTTAAACGTAAGGAAGTGTTGTAACCTTATTTTCGGGTTGGTTAGATTGACCCGACCAAAAAAATGTCAACTCGCGAACTAACCCAATTATTCGATTTTCCAAAAAATTAACCCAACCTAACCCAACCAATTTTTTTTTTTTAACCCAATTCAACTTTTATGATTTGGGTTAAATAACTCAAGTTGGTTAGGTTCTCGAATCATATGAACACTCCTATTATTTCGAGATAACATCCAAAAACTCTTGAAATGCCTTCCTAAAGCATCTTAGGATGTGTGAACAACTCGAAACGTTTGGACATTTTATAACTACCCGATAGTTATATGCTATAAGTCGTTGTTGTTGCCTTTTTCTTCAATCTTTCAAATATCTTTCGAAATCTCTCTGCCCCGTTTTCTAAAACCTTCTTCTTGAATCGGGGTCAGAGACTTGAGTATACATCGCTTAACCGTAGGCGAGGCAAGAACGAATTGGCATTGGCTTAACTCACTTGTTACTGGGAAGTAGTGAGTGTCACACAATCGCAAGTCCACTACCATCAAAAGGATGGCGACAATGGAAATTGTAAAGTCCTAAAAATAAAAAATTAAAAAAAAATAAAAATTAAAAACTAGGTAGAAAAGTATTTATTATCAATAATTTTTTATAGATAGAACTTTCAAACTTAAAAGGCAAAATTAATAAACTAGGTCAAATTTTTTACACAAACAAAATATTAATTTATTAATAATTATAACCAATTTATATTGAAAGTTGACCTATCTAATTGGCCACATACTAATTATTAATAATATTTAATCAATAATTACATCAATTTTTTAGATAATTTATATATTAATATAATATAATTAAATTTGTTAAAATTTTAATATCTTTAATAATAATAATATTATTATTATTATTATTTGTAAAACAAGTTAATTTATATTGTTTTGAATTTTTATAAAAGATATGACAATTAAATATTAATTTCCAAATACAGCAACTTATTTTAAAAGAAAAACAATTATACAATATTTATATATTATCAAAATAGATAAAATTGGAGAGTAATTATTTAATTTGTGATACGTTTTTTTAAATAATAGAGCAAATTGAAATTGCATAAAATATTTTATTACTAAATTAATTTTGATTATTAATTAATTAATTTGATTAATACTTTGAATTATTAATTTGTGACTATTAATTTTATCAACTAAATACCAAACATAATTTAATTACAAAATTTTGATAAATTTAAAAATTTTTGTTTTAAAATTTTATGGTTGTATCCATGTCCTAATAATAATAAACGTCTTTTTTTTTATCTTTTTAAAAATGTTTAAAGTTGAAAATTAAGAACAGTTGACTAAACCGGTAATTAACCTTACAAATGTGAATTTGAATCAAAATTAATAATATTTAATTGTTTAATTTAATGAAGCTCGAGAAGAAAATTCAAACCACTATTAATTCTATTATGGTACGATATTAAAATGTTTAATCTCGCCAAAATTTTATAAATAAATAAAAAAAAAAATAGTGATGATTGAGTGTCATAGAAAAGAATGAGTGATTGGAAAACCAGCATGATATTGGGCAATCGTGTAATGCACTTTGCTCATAAAATGGCTAACAATTAGGGTTTTTTTCAACTAAATAAAGAGAGAGAGGGACAGGTAAAACCCTAATTTTGTTAAAGATAATGAACCATATTCGTCCCGATTCGCATCTTTCCAACTATCCACCTACGTTCGTCGTCGTCAAAAAGTTCGATTACTTGAATAAAAACCCGATCAACCAAACTCAAAATCATTAGGTTTTTGAGTTGTGTTGAACAAAACGAACTTAAATTTATTACTAATTTTAAAATTACGATATAATTATCTAACGATTCTTAAAAAGAGTGACTGTCCTTTTATTCGTCACCGTCGGATCACTAAGACTGACTTTCGTCCTTGCTCGACGAGTGGGTCTTGCAATCAAGTTCCCTTCTGCGTTTGCATATGAGGGTATTGAAATTGAGAGGTAAATTTTAATTAAATGTTTGAAAATAAATAAATAAATAAATAAACTATATTTTTTGTCGGAGCTTAGCTCAAATGACTAGACTTCTAGTCCACCTCGTGATAGATCGTAGCTTTGAATTTTCATCTCCTCCTTTGCACGGTAATATACGCATCTCGAAAAAAAATTATTTTAAAATTATATAATAATTTTCAATATTTTATTTTGATAAACTCAATTAATAGACTCTTAAAATTTTAAAAACAAATTTTTTTGAGTAATTAGATATATATAAAATATAAATTATAATTCCAATTATAAAGTATCATCAAATAATAATTATTTAAAAGGGAAGAAAATGACTTTATTTATATCATTAATATTTTGGAAATGAATCATCCCAATAAGGATTAAAGTTATTAAAAGTAGCGTACGAGAATATTGACCATATTTATTTTATATATTCTATTTATTTAAATTATTATTATTATTTTTAAAATTAGATTGGAAAAAGTGAAGAAAGTTAATAAATAATAATAATAAAAGAATATCTCCACCCGAACTTAACTCATTGGGTAAGTTGTCTGTTACTATTTCAAATGGTAGAGGTGTACTCGGGTTAGGATGGACAAATATTTTGAAGGGTTGGTTGGGTTGGTGACACGAGCAATCCGAATGGAGTTGACGATCCAATCTAACCCTCTATTTTCGAGTTGGGATGTTTTTTTTTTTTTATTATATATTATTATTAAAAAAAAACATATAACGAAGAGAAACTTCAAATATCAAATAACCACAAGTCACAATATATCACTGACGTCGGTTCCAAACATCAAATATCTTCATAATATTAAAAGTAGAAGTAGGGTTGGGTTGTAACCTATTCTTTAAGTTGGTCGGGTTGATCCAACCAAAAGATTAATACCTAAATTATTTATTTTTCGAGTTCAATCTTCATCTGACCAGAGTAAACCTTTGCACGCCTCCATTACCTTTCGGGGAGGGTTTGTATGAATAAAGGAAGGCATAATATATTTTCAAAAAAATGACGCCCCGACACCGTGGTAGCCATGTGCTCTAATCCTCTAAGCTACAGGCCCCACCCCGTCTCTACTACATCGGTTACCAGCATACCCTACAAAAAAATAAACATTTCCTCTACATAACCATTTGCCATTTTGGGTTAAGAAAATGTGAAAGCGCCTCTCTCAATCTCAGTAAGAACTATATGTTCCAAGATTTGTAATCCGACTTTAATATATTTTTAAAAAATTACATTTCAAATGCTTAAAAAAAATATATGATATTTATAAATATCTTAATGTTAATTTATATTTATTTATTTTTAATACAACAGCTAATCTACGGTAGTTAATTTATATTTATTTATTAGTACAATCGCTAATCTATAATCGTGTTAATTAAAATTCAACTAATATCATGATAATATCGTAATAACAAAGGTTGATATATTTATATAAAATATATTCATAATATTAGTTATTAATATTTAAATATTAGTAATAAGATACGTTCCCGAAATGAAAATAACTTAAATATTAATTTAAATAATTGTAAATAGTAGTGGCAAAATTGTAAAAAAGGCCAAAAAAAGCATGCCCTTTTGGTAACTGAAGGTTCTTTTATAATACGGCCTTCTCCCTCCCCCCACCCTAAAAGCATGCAAGAAAAATCCCACCAGAAAACCAGAGAGGGAAAGCTCGGCGGCCGGAAAAAATGGTGGAAAAGCGATTTGCGATGCTTCTGTGCGCGGAGGATCCGGAGTACGTGAAGAAGAAATACGGAGGGTATTTTGGGGTTTTCCTGAGAATGTTGGGCGAAGAAGGGGAGATTTGGGACTCTTACAGAGTCGCCGCCGGCCACTTTCCTAACGACGCCGATATCGGACTCTACGAAGGATTCGTCGTCTCCGGCAGCTGCAGCGACGCCCATTCCGACGATCCTTGGATCTGCCGGCTTCTTCTTTTGTTGAAGAAGTTGAACGGCTTGAAGAAAAAAGTGCTCGGGATTTGCTTCGGCCACCAGGTTCGTCAAATATATTTAATTTTTATTTTCGATAAATTAAAGTATATTTCTGGAAAGTAATTTTAATTTCTCTAATAAATGATAATTCTATTTTTTTTTTAATTAAAATTGAAATGGGTGTTGATTTATTTTATTTTATTTTATTTTTTATTGTGCCGTTCGTTTCTTCCGTACACCGTAAAAATTTTAAATAATTTTTTTAATTTAAAAAATTTAGAATAAATTAAATAAGGGTATTAATTCCACTCTTTATTGGAATTTATGGTTTAATTTAATTTTTAAAAAAACATTCAAAGTTAAAACGAATGAGGTAATTAAAGAAGGATAAGTTTTTTTTTTTGTTAGGCATTTAAAATTTCTTTTAAAAAATGAATTTAAATTAAAATAAAATAAAATTACAAAAAATATATATTATTTTTCGGCCTTTTTTTTGGGTCCCTTATTTCTGGCCACGTATTATTGGCCAGAAATCACAATGGAAGAAATATTGTGGGCCCGTGGTGATGAACGGCTGTCAATTACCCACGTGTCCTTATTTTTTTCTAAAACGGAATCTTCGATTCTCGCGTGTAATTAAATTCTTAATATTCTAAATATTTTGTTATTCACGAAATTTTAAAAAAAGAAAATAGTATATATTCCTTTTTGTTATTGTATTTTATATTATGTAATTATTTTATTCTATTTATTTGAATATCTCTCATATACAAAAAAAAAAAAAAAAAAAAAAAAA